TTAAAACTGACCTGTTTACATCCTCCAATGTAAATTGATACAATGTGCTTATCTTCATACTCTCGACTCATCATTCCAAGCATATCTCCTACTTGGAACGGAGGAGGCTTTCCTTTTGGATGAACAATATAGCAGCTGTCCGTATCAGTATAAAGTAGTTTACAGTCTGGGTCGTTGAATATTTGGTCCATATAGTCGTATAGGAAGACTCGCGCTGTTGCTGTCGTTATGAGAGCAATCACAATATTATACTTGTCATGAGGACGAACAAATTCTCTTTTTGATTGATAAGGGACGGAGAATAGATCGGTAGCAAGCATCTCCACAGCCCCAACTTCTAGCTTAGGATCGTTAAGTACTTCATGTAATTCCACTGGTGATCGTGTGATAAGATCCTTTAAATTAATTTAAAAATAAATTTTTTAATTTTTCTACCTTCGATAAATTGCATCTGAGAGCCCATCTTCCCCATCTAAAATTTTTGTTATTTATGAATTGAATAAAAACAAACAAGGAATTGTTGCAGCTCTTAGCCATGTATCGCATTCCTTCATTTCGGGCAATTTTCTCTTTGTCCAACTTTATCCCATATTTTTGCTGATTTCTCATTAAAAATTCCTGTTTAAGCTTTTCCTCGTTATTAATATTTGTCGGGTCAAGAACGGCGCTTGGCCAGCCACTTGCTTCAATCTTAAGTTTCATCATATCTTGAACATAAGGACGTAGCAGTTTATCTGTCCATTGTTCCCAATGATATACACTGTAGATCCATGTTGCTCGATAACCTTTTTTCAACGCTAGTTCAAGTTCTACAGTACAAACTGTTGCGACAAAACCTCTCTTCTTTTCATCGTGTGTGCAAAGATTGCTTCCTAATTTTTGACTATATTCGTACTTCATTCTCCAAGGAAAACCAGTTGGAGCTTCAATGGCACATTGATGGCATAGATGGAAAACCTAATTTTTATATCAATAAAGGATTTTAAAACTAACCAATTTCCCATTAATTCTTTCTGGAATAACTGGAAGGTACAGATCATCAGGAGGAATAATAAACAATTTAAAAATTCCTCGATATGGAAATAATTGATCGGCACGTCTCCAATCGACAGGTTTATTGAGTTGAATCACCTCAGGGTGTCCTAATTATTTGTTTTTGTTAATAAAAATTATTTACCTATTGGATAATATCCATAGAAATTCACTGCTGGATAAAGGCTAACAACATCGTAACATGTAATTTCATATTCATTCGATTGTCCAGATTCTTCCAGATCACATTTTAAACTCTGAGGACCCGTTCTTCCTCCCTATAGTATTATGATTTAATATTTTTAAATTAATATTCACATGAAATGCGTCTCTTGGAAAAAGTGGACCAATATCTGGCAATTCATTGAAGAAAAATGACATGTCTTCATTTTCTTCCAACTGTTTCCTAATAGTACATTCCCAAACCATAAGCGGGCGCATTCCTGCTTCTTGAATAAGTCTTCTTCTTTCTTTCATCTTATCACGATTATAAAGAGCCGTTTTTCCATTTAAACAAATCTCATTAGGTTTATAAAGACTAAAATTTTTCGATTCATTTATTCAAAGAAATACATACCATTTATGTCCATGCCATGCACATCCTAAAAATTCTATAGCAATATCTTCGTCGTCGGGTGATCTGCGTACATATCCGTCTAACCTTAGAACTTCGCCATTTGAAAGCCTTAGTCTAAATTCCCCAGTAGCACTATTTTGATGTTGTACTTGAGATCCGGTTTCATGTTCCAGCCATTGCATATACTTGAGAGCAATAGCAGATTGATTGCTATCCCGGTGATAACCTAATTTTTTCTTATATAATTATTTTTAAAATACAAACCATTATCTGGAATGATCCCTACTTCCAAAGGCTTCAAGTAGTTAATGCCTTAAATAAAATGTAAACGTAATAAGTTTTAGCTTACAGAAATGACGAAGACAAGCACTAGCTAATGTCAGTGAGGATGATAAAACATCATCTCGTTTTGAAGGTTCAGGGGCTATATCAAAAAATAGTCGCTGGAATTTTATAACGGCATGAGCTAGAACACGGACATCTTGCTCGCAATAAAGCCCAATTTGTTGCTCCAGGCAGAAAGGAATATGTTTATTTTCCTCATACCATACTTCAAATTTCATCCTTCTATCTTTCCCCATTGATTCAGGATAATAATATTCCCGCGCAGGAAGTCCAGGTAGTTTTATATTCATATTTTTGTTGAAGTTCCATCCATGTGGGAAGAAAGTCTTTCCTCCTTCGTCAATCTCCAACCCAAGTGCTTTTGGCAATTGTTCCAACTTTAAAGCCATCCAGTTGAATGAATCACGAAATGAGATTCTTGGGCATACTTCTCTTGTTCTTTTTAAAAGAACTTCATAAAGTTTATTGCCTAGAAAATCGCTTAAATTTTTATAAAAATAATATTTACCTGATCTTGTAATATTAGGCTCTATGCCTGTTATTTTCATCAATTCTCCTAATAACAAATGCATATCATAGCGCCTAAATTACTATGTATTATTTAATCAAAATAATAAATACCCTCCGTAATGTGAAATAGCATATGTCGCAATTCTTCTTTCCTTCCCGAGACCATTAATTAACCATTCAATAAATTCCACTAATGGATTCACATAGGTAGCTGATGTCCATGTAAATATTCGTTTGCGATTTATTCCACAAATGATACAATTTAAAGAATATTCTTCTTTCCAAAGTTTATCTTCTTTAATACAGCTCGAGCATAGAAGGATAGCCTAAAAATATTTATTTATATAAATCTTCTAGCTTACCGATACACAATTAACGTGGTGTAATTGATAATTTTCGTCATTTGTAGTACCTTTTGCGATAACTCCAAGTCTTTGCCATTCATCTTCATTTCGAGTGGGTGAGATTAGAGAACATTCGAAGTCAAAAATAACCTTAAACAATTTTTGTCTTTTTTTATACTAATTAAGTTACCAGTATATATTCCTTTTGTTTTTTGGGAACGATTGGCTGGACATAACACGGCTCTTCCGTCCGATGAATTGAATGACAATGTGAACAAAATCTAGAATAGCAAACATGTTCGTTCCCATCTGATTCATCATCTGATTCTTGTTTTTTGTTCGATCGATATATTTGGCCACAATCCAAACATCTATAATTTTAATTTAATAATCTATTTACTTAAATTTACCTCTTATAAATCTTGCAAATGTTCCTCATAATATGTTCGTGGAAACATTTCGGGTTTCTGAAAATGTTGCAGCATTCTTTGCACTGTTTCATATATCCTTCAATTTCCTCACACGGATAATCTATTCCCATTCCACAACAACGAGGACATTTTGCTAAGCATTTTGCACGATGATTTTTCTTGTTGTAGTAAGTTGTCTCGCAATCAAGACAATAATAATCAGTTCCAAATAGGCTATTTAACTTCCTTATTCCACTGAAATGCTCATCTTTCAAGTAGAGGCACAGCTCATTGCGAGCACGTTTTTTTCCTTTCCAGATAGGTTTTGCATTGCCTCTTTCTCCAAAAATTGCTATTCTATATTGTCCAGGGTATAGAATATCCAAAAGTTTCTGCACAAGGGGAACGTGTTCATCGACGTTGTATATTTTTCCTTAATAGGATATGGAACTTTGTGTTGTTTCATTTGAGAAAGCATTTCTTTAATTAGGAGTGTCCTTTTATGCTTTGACTTTTCGCCACATCCTTGTGTCAATCTTAGAAATTGAACATTGCCTGTCGTTGTGTTTGGTTTGGAAATATATAACATTGTAAGTTGAACAGCCAGAAGCAAGCAATGTCGATTATATGGAGCGGGTAAATCTTCATTTTTTACCTAAAATAAGTTTTTATAAATTTTTAAATATTTTTCATACAGGAATAAGATTATTAACATCGATTCCATGATGTATCTCTCTTCTTTTTCGCCCGCTTCCTCCACGTTCCATTCGTGACAATTTGAGCGCTTCTTCATGTGAAGGCCCCATAACAATCTTTAAGATTTGAATTTAAAAATGTTACAAAAATGTACCTCGATGTTAATCGGCTGGCTGTAAATAGAAGGTCTTCCCATGCGTTGGCCACTTTGATCAACGGTGTCGAACTGTTCCATTACTACCTGCGGTGTGTTCTGTGCAAGTCCACGATACGGAACTTGGATAGGTCTCTCCAACACGGCGCTTCGAATAATAATTGAACACTTTTGAGATTTTGCCCCTGCAGCTTGATATGCGCGGACATAAAAGTGGTCAATTAATTGTTCTAGCAGCATTTCCCTCCCTTGTGGAGCTTCATCCGCATTGATTACTGTAAAGGATGCCCTAAGAATAAAAATTTTATTTATTTTTCAATTATAAATGTACCTGAAGACCCCAATTTTGAAACGATTACTTCGAATATGTTCAATTGAATCCTCTCTAAAATATTTTTTGATGTTATGGGCCATGTGTATTGTTTCTTAAAAATTGTTAAAATGATTATTAACTATTAATACAACATTTAAGAGATAATGAATTGGGTAAAACAGAATAGTTATAGCTTATTATTTTTTAAGATTTATCGACACTGAAATGAATCATTTCGAAAAATTGTTAAACTTCTTATTTATCATTCCATGGAAATCTCTGTTCAAAACACGGCATCCAGAGCAGCACTAAAATTATTAGTATTTTATTTAAAATAATATTATTTACTATGAAATTGAGTGCATACATGACTCCCCTATCGAACGCAAGGCCGAGCTTTTGAAGAAACAAATCCCGAGCTTGGCTTTTCTGAATCAATTCGCATTTCTTGCACTAAAAGTATTTTTAGTAAAATCGTTATGTAATTTTCCACCTGATGTATTATCCATGCATATTTGTAGCGTAATAGTTTTCTGTCTCCATCGGTTTGACAGCTTTCCCCAAGTGTATAGTACAAAACGCCTTCTACTAAAGAACTCTTTTTAGTAATTATTTTTAATTACCTTTTTCCAAAGAATCTTGTGTTTGTGAGCCCCCTTCCACGTGTTCTTCTGTTTTTCCATTCGCACGCTCTCCTTAAATTTGAAACAATAAAGTTAATTTTTTGCCTACCCCAGTTTTGCCCATAGAAATCAGCAAGAGCAATATTTTTGTCCAAATCATCACCGCACAACTCTATTGTTAGTACAAATATTCCACTTTCTCCTCCCTTGAAGAGATATTCTTCTCTACGCATCTGTTGTTCTTTACAATTATTACATTGGTGAACGAAAATCCCTTTTCTGGGATTTCTAAGCATATCCGATTGAACTAACAACTGCTGCGGCAAAGTTTTGTAAAATCCTGGAACATTCAATTAATTGGCCAGTTTAAAAAATCTTACGGTTTTTATCTTCTTGCTCATGGCGAAGTAGTTTATACTCTTCCTCATCCTTTCCTAGATCAATTATTTCGTCTTTATCGGGTTCATCTGATTGTTCTTCTTCTTCATCATTGTTTATGGCATTTGACCATTTCTCACCAACCTGCTTCTGCAAATCTTTAATAAACTTTTACTAATCTTACCTTTTTAGTAGGTGCTTTTGTTTTCTTTGGGACAGGTGGATGACACCCTACTGATTTCCCAGAGCTTGAAGTCGTAGTTAAAGAGCGTTTGCGGCGTGCTTCTACAGCGTTTTTCTTCCTTTTTTGCTCTCGTATGAAGCCACGGATTTCTTCGAGCTCAATTGCACTAAGTTCTTCAATTTCATCACCTTAAGTAAAGATCAATTTCTGAATTGTTATTCTTTCCACTAATTGAGCCTTTACTTACCTTTGTCACAACTGTTTCCGCTGTAGAGACGGGTTTCCTCATGTTCATCACCACCTTCAGAAAATAAATGCATTTATGAGTTATTATCATAAAAATGTTTTATTCCCTGCCTTGCATTTTGGCTGTCATTTTTTCTGCCATTTGTTGTTTACGAAAAATAAACTTTATTTGTTAATAAAAGGCTTAAGAGTCGTAGAAAATTATTTGGAGTATTAAATAAATTTTTTATTTAAAATATTATATTTAAATTCTCGTTATAAAAATTATTTTTTATATTTACAAAGATAAAAAATTTATATGAAATAAATTACAATACAATTTTATACAAATAAATTTAATGATATAAGCAAATGTTGGATAATTTTTATAAAAATAAATTTAATGAACTAAGGGAAGGTTGGAGCTTGTTATCGCTCTGAGGATTATGTTTTAAAAATGATGATAAATGCGGAAAACTCACCAGTTTTTATACTAGAGAACTCAATGTACTTTGATCGACACTTATCCCCCTTCTGCACCTAATTTATTTTAATGGATGCGTATTGTGTAATAAAACCCATTAACCTAAAACCCATTAATTAATCCAACCCATTAACTTAAAACCACTTAACTCTTTTCCCTTCTATTATCTCTTTGAGTGATCGCTTACTCATCCCTTTTATTACACAGCCCATTAACCTCGCGCATGTCGTCCATTAGACACGTGCCTTTCTCTTCATTGTATACCATTACCTTAAGTGCTTTAATGCTCCTCGAAATTCAGTGGTATTTAAGCTCTCGATTTTTCTTTATTTTCTTATTTTATTTAATAAATTAATATTATTTTTTAATATTTTTTGTATTATTTTTATTAAATTTATTTTTATTAAATTTATTTTTATTAATAAATTAATATTGCATTTATATTTTTATAAATTTTTAATATTTTTTAATAAATTTTTTCATTAATAAATTAATATTATTATTCAATTAATATTAAATTATTATTTTTTTATAAATTTTTAATATTTTTTATCCATTATTTTAATTAATAAATTGATAATTTTTTATAAAAATTATTTTTGAAATAAAACTCTAACAGCCCCCCCCCCCCTTTTAAATGGTTGTTGTTTTTTAATTGAAAATTTTTGAAATTTTTTTAAATTTTTTCAATTAGAAAATTTTAAATTTTTTAAGTGGTTTTTTAAGTGGGGGGGGGGGGTCCTTAAGTGGGGTTTTAAATTGATTTTTTAAGTGGGGTTTTAAAGTAAAATTTTTTAAAATTTTTTAATTATAAATTTTTAAGTGGTTTTTAATTGATTTTTTAAGTGGGGTTTTAAAGTAAAATTTTTTAAAATTTTTTAATTATAAATTTTTAAGTGGTTTTTAATTGATTTTTAAGTGGGGTTCTTAAGTGGATTTTTAAGTGGAGGTTTTTAAATTTTTTTAATTTTTTACATTTTTTAAAATTTTTTAAGTGGGGTCCTTAATTGGATTTTTAAGTGGAGGTTTTTAAATTTTTTTAATTTTTTACATTTTTTAAAATTTTTTAAGTGGGGTCTGGGGGTTTTTAAATTTTTTTAATTTTTTAAATTCTTTTACAATTTTTTAAGTGGGGTTTTAATTGATTTTCTAAGTGGGGGTTTTAAGTGAACTTTTTTACATTTTTTAAATTTTAAAATTTTATATTTTTTAAGTGGTTTTTAATTGATTTTTTAAGTGGGGGTTTTTTATAAAATTTTAAATTTTTTAAATTCTTTTACAATTTTTTAAGTGGGGTTTTAATTGATTTTCTAAGTGGGGGTTTTAAGTAAAATTTTTTAAAATTTTTTACATTTTAAAATTTTTTAAAATTGTTTTTTACTTGTATCAAGTGTTAATGGAGTGACGAGGTATTTAAACCTTCGCAATTATTCTCTATAGCCTTTTTATTTTTTAGTATTTATTTTCCTCCCTAAAAAGTGTAATAAAATCATTTTTAAAAAGTATTTTTATGGAATAAAATCCTATTAGATACTACTCTCAAATTTTAAAGGGTTCATCTCAGTTGATTCACTCCGAACTGAATTCTCCTGTCCCGGAATTTCAGCAAATTTAGATATTGGTGAAACATAAATATTGGCATAATTCATTTAAATTTATATAGATGAACCAATATTTCTGGGAGCTGTCCCCTGGCCTGACCTGTTTTCGTTTGATCAAGAAAATGAAAATAATCACCAAGTTGTAGCTTTAACAGTTATTGAAATGGGAGAACCTGTTGAAATGAAAAGAAATTTTCCTTCATCTGTAAATAATTATATATACCTATTTGAGCGGTATTGCACTCAATTCAATTTCCTTTAAGCTGACGCCGGGAGCTAGCCCGGATTTCGCGAGCTAGCCAGGATTCTGTAACGGCTGTACTAAGACTTTTAAATGTCCGGAGTCAGGGCCATCATTAAAAATGTCTATTAGTTTGTCCCGTTCTAGTTGAGATAAATCAGATTTCATACTGTGACTTTAACTCTGACCCGAGCTTCTTGCATAACCTAACACTTTCTCAACAGTAGTGAATTTACAACTTTATTTTTATAAATTTTTAAAGGTTTGGACAATAAATCTTCGTCAAGGCTTTCTTGGTTGTATGAAGAATATTCGTTTTAATGGCATAAATATCGAGATTGCACATATGTTTTATTCAACTAAATTATTACCAACGGAAAGACCAAATGAAAGAAGTCTTTCATCAAAAATAAATAAATGTAATTATTAAAATATTCACCCACCACAAATAAAAAACCGCATTTCCTTGAATACTTACCTATGTAATTATTGTTCAAACTCACGCCAGGGGAGGGGGGTTGTAATTAATCTAATTAATCGAGTGAGATCGTCAAAGTTGAATAATAGGGATCACGTAATTTAGAAGATTGACGCGAGGTATCCCGCGGTATTAATTTCGCAAAGACCAGAATCCCTGGACTGGATCTCGTGGAATCCCATACGAGAAATCTCTCGTAATTCCGTATAGGAAAAGACCGAAATCTCGTCAAATCTCTAACTAATCGAAAAAATAAGTAAAGCTTGAATGATTATGGGATTTTGGGAAAACGTTATGGGTTAATTTGCCTTTCTCCATTATATAAAATTTTATTTTGACATTATTTTTAAGCAATCTCACTTGGTTGCCCCTTCTCTTTCTCTGTTGATTTTTGTAAAAAGCCGGGCAGCAAGAATCCGTGTAAAAATGGGGGTATTTGTTCTTCATATCACAATTCATTTCACTGTGATTGTTCTGACACTGCTTTTGATGGAATTAATTGTCAACAAAGTATCGAAAGGATTATTCAAAAAATATTTTAAAATAATTTTCTAGAGCCTCGTCCTTTGCCTTTCCCGCTTCCAGAATCTCTTTCAGCCAAATTTCATTTCTCTGATTCATGGCAGTTGGAGGCAGAAAATTTGGAAATTAAATTTTGTCCAAAGCTGAGAATAACTCTAAATGAATTAAATAAACAGAAGAAACTTTTTGTTTTAATTGATACAAAATCTGATATTAACAAAATAGATGAAGATAAACAACGTTTGTTGGTAGCAATTACTGGGAGTGGAGGATTAATTGTGCATTGGGTATTTCGAGGAAATGAGCAAAGTGTTGGTTGATTTTTTAAAAATAAGATAATAATATGATGTTATAATCTAATCAAGAAGGGATTTGGTATCTGGAAAAGGTAGATCGCAGATCATGCTTATTAGGTGTATTGGTTACATCCTTTTTATTCTTGGTTTAAGATTCGGCCGGGATCCAGAGCCAGCTCAGAAGCTAGATAATGGAGCCATCTTCAGCAGGGATGGGAGGGTTGAGAAAAAGGTCGAGTCGGGGTTTCAAAATGTTCTTCGGATCGGGTTTCGCGTCGAAAAAGTCAGCTTTTTAGGTACGTGTTTTTGGGTTATCCGTCCCATCCCTTATCCACAGCACTGTTGATTTTACGTTTAAACTTACAATTTTTGGGTTATCTTAATTTGATTAACTTATAAAATTATAGACTTTTAATCTGAGCTCTGCAAACATTACAAATAATTTACATTGGCATTCACTCAAGCTAATAAGAAGGGGGCAACGAATGGCGCTAAAATTGGATGGAAAATGGCATAATCGTAAGTGTCTTGATTTAAAAAATGAATTCTCTAACTAGCGTATATGCTCTAATATAAGACCAGAGCTTCTAATTATCATTAGGTCACTTTAGTAGGGCTCATATTATAAAAGGTTTTTATTAAAAACTTAACTTATAGTTTTAGATGGGGCGCCTCGGGAGGTTTTGTATTAGAGATGGGCTTCTAATAGAGCGGGGCGTATATTAGAGCATTTACAGACTGATGCTGGGTTTGAGAATTTTAATTTATTTCTGACAGAATCACTAAATAATATTGGAAACAAACCTTTAATTATCTCTATCAATGAAATAGCTATTGCCCAACCTATTGGAACTGCTAAATTAGCAAGTAAACTTTTAAATATTTTGTAGAAAATTATTTTTTTATTAAAAGTATTTCTTTTATTTCAGATAATTTAGAGCATTTGTTTCGTTTCCACGGCGATTTAAGGATTCTTTCATTGAATGGGCATGATTTATTAAAGCCTATACGTGTTATGAAAAGACAAAAAGGTGAATTTAAATAATATATTAATTATAATTATTTTTGAAAAATATTAAAACAAAATTCATTCTTTTTTTAATTTTTTTTCAAAATTATTTCGGTTCTATCGAATTATCTCTCTATCATTTTCTGTATTCTTTTATGAATAATAATGCGCATAATGATAAGTTATCAAATTAATAGGATGAAATACTTTCAAAAATAATGATAACAATAAGTCAAATCACATTTAGGGATCTAAATTTGGGTGTTTCTGTTTATGATATTTGATACGGGATTACTTCCTCCAACCTTCTCTTACAAAATCCAGAATATTTGTAATTTTTCAAAAGAAAGAAATAAAAAAAGTTAAAAAATTTGGGAGATAATCGGATATTATTATTTTCTAGGAAAATTTTGTTAGAAATTTTACGAAAACATTTTAAAAATATTTTGTAAATTACTCGATTATTTATCATTCTATCCCTAAATCTTTTTTATAGGCTTTTGGAAATTATCCATAAATCTGCTTTTATTTTGCAAGTTTTACATGCATGTCTTTCCCAGTCTATTCAAATTTATTAACTTTTTTAAACATTTATCAACTTCAGTCTTATATTTTTAATTTTAATTTCAAAAAATTAATTGTTCTATTTATAAAAACTTTTCTCATTTTTCTGCAACATTTTCTCGTTAAAATTTGATTCACTTTTCTCACATTTCCATGCCTTATTTAACTTGAAACTATTCCAATTTTAACATTTTCCTCTTGACACAAATTGGATTAGTAGAAAGGAAAATTCTTTTGGCACTTTTTTTATTTTTTATTTTTTACTTGTTTTTTATAGAAAAAAATGTTTTTTTACTCTGCGCATTTTCTTCCTTTTTTATTTTTTAAGGAAGGAAATAGGAAATTACTTTATATATTCCAATAACCACCATTTTTCCTTCCTAACAACTCTTATTTATTATTAAATACAATAAGCTGCTAAACTAAATTCTTAGAAAAATGTTTGAAAAAAATTTTATGCATAATTTTAAATATTTTTATAAAATGAGGAAATTGGCAAAACAAAATTTTAAGATTTTTTGGTAATCTACGGGACAAAAAATAGGAAGAAATTTGGCTTTTTGGTTTACTGAAACTTTAAAAATTAGCCTCACGGAGAGTATTCTCTCGACTGAATACCTAAATAATAAAACTTCGGCCTAGGATTAGAAGCTTTGATTCAAAACAAATGGTTCTTAAGACCATGAGTTAGGCCTCATATCACAATTTTGATTCGACACTCAGGAATACTGCCAGGCTAAACACGGTGTTTTATCTGGACTGTGTTTTATTATGGACTGTATTTTGGTAAGACCGCTTTCTAGAAGACCGAGTTTTGCTCCTCGCCCTTTAATTTTGCGTTCTGCGTTTTTGAAATTTTATAACATCCAGTTGATTTTTCATGTATTAAAAATTTCAAAACACAATTTCTTTATAAATTTTTCAAAAAAAAATATTTTTAGGTCCCTTCCAAAATTATTTTTTTTTATTATTATTATTTCTGAGTCAACAATTGACACATTCCCTTTACCAATATTTTCATTCTCTTCAAATTTCGTCATTTTCTATTTAAAACTTTGCCTTCTAAACACTTCTAGACACTCTTTAAAATTTTTGTTTAGGCACCTCAATTACTTTTTTTTCTTTAAATTTGGAAAATATTTTCTTTCAAGTATTCTCTTTGAATGACGATTAAATATGTAGCTTTGCAAAATTTTTTTAAACTTTGTGCTTTAAATAAATTTTGTGTTTGAAAGAAAATTGCATAATTCTGGAAGGAATATTTTTGGATAAAATAAGTCAGAAAATAATTTTACTATGCCAAGCAAGGATGGGTCGTATTGCCACAAAGCCCAACATCCGAGCAGCTTTTTTCGAAAACAAAATATCATCGAAAATCGGTGCTCAGAATTTCTAAGCAGCGTGTAGCCGAGCCTAATAAATTATTTAAAACCCGGCCCAAGCTCCTATTTGTAAATCTTCTTCCTGAGCCGAAGAAGATTTGTAAATCTTACCGAAAACCTAACCCCTATTTTTTCAATCCGACCCATATTTAACATCCCAACGAACTATTAAGATTTTTAAATTTAAGATTTTTATCTTTTACTTCCATAATAATCAAGAAAATATTGTTATAATTTATTAATTTCTTTTATTTTTGACAGATTTTTAATTTTTTTTGCCTATGTAAACATTTTAACTGCCTCTTTAATATTTATTTTCAATTTTTAACTCATTTAATTCTCTCAAAATTATTTTTGGCATAATTTTTGCCCGAAATAACCATTTAATATTTTACTTTTATTGTTTAAAATCTTTTCCCCTTTCCTTTCTTATCTTATAGCTCCAATCATTTGTCAAAAACGTAAAAATGCCAAAATATATATTTCTTATATCTGTTACCGAGTTATTGAAATGGCAATGTCAAGGGGCAGAACAAGGGGAAGGAAAATACTTTTTTATGCTTTTCCTCAAAAAATATTTTTTTTCCTGCTTTTCTTTTAGTTCCTCCCAAGCTAATATCAGTGCTTACTCATCTTCCAACATTCCTTTTTAAAAATATTATGGCACATTATGGCACCGTGGAATTTTATTTACATGAAAATATTTTTTTGAATTTTATCGGGGAATTTAGCAAAATTTTTTGGAATTCTAGAAAATTTTTGGACTAAGCTTATTTTGATGATTTTCTGAATAGATTTAAAAATTGGCTGCATAATTTATTGGATAATTTTAATAATCTTCGGTTATTTAATTTCCGTCCTATGTATTTTTTAAAAACATTCTCTGATGACATTGTGGATAAAAATTTTACGGGGCGATAACAATGTGACAAAAATTAAATCGAAGCGACTAACTACAATATTTCCTCAGATGGAGTTGTTTATCCCATAATCTATACTATTCTACTGGATTTTTAACTATATTAGATTAAATATGTGGGCATATCAGAGGTATATAGCCGACCATCTTCCCTGAAAGAAAATTGAAAATCTCTGAGTAATCTCAAGTTTCCCAAAGTTGTTAAAACTATCAGGAATATTCTGTAATTTTTTCTATCATTCTTTCCCAAAGTTATTTATTCAATATTAAAAAAATTATCGCATTCTTTTTGCTAAATATTAAATTAAAAATGCATGTATAATAATAATAATAATAATAATTTATATTTTAGCTCTTTAATGTTCCCATGGACTTTTATTGAATTTTTCTTAGATTTATTAAAATAAGAACAAATTTTAAAAATTTTATTTTCTAATTAAAATTTTTGGAAAAATTAAAAACAAAATTTTTTCAAGGTTCTTCAACATCCTCACAAATTCAAGAATTAAATTTAAATTCTTCCGAACAAGTCGAAACGACAAATATTAGAATGGATAATAAGTATAGAAATTTATCAGCCGATCATGCTTTGAAAAATGGAGGAAGACATAGTCAAACCACTACGGTAAATTAATTTTAAAAAGTATTATTAAGGAATTAAACCATGACTCTCATTAGAGAAACAAAAAGTTTAATTTATTTTCGAACGGATAAGAAACTCAGAAAGCCCTTCTCTTAGTCATTCCTCTAGTCCTATTTTCTGGAATTTTTAGAAGTTATCACCAGAATCTGGTGTTGCTTTAATTTTGGCCGCATTAAATATTTTATCTTCAAATATTTTATAAATATTTTATCTTTATTTTCTTTAAAATTATTTTATAAAACTTTTTAACCCAAGGCCATCAATCCTATGACAAAAATTCTGTGATTGATAAACAATCCCAAAAAATTTTTCGGTTTTAACCTTTTCCTTCCGTTTTTCGAAATTTAAAAATTAATTACTGATTAAGAGAACATTTATTGTTATTAAATCAAAATAAAAATAATAATTAAGATAGATAACTAACAAGTATTCTCATTTTCTTTAAAATTATTTTATTCTCAAAACTAAAATCTAATTTAATTGTTCATCCAACCATTTAAAATTTTTTTATTTTTCTGTTTACCTTTTAAAGAACTTTAGCTAAAGCCATAAAATAGATATAAAGTCACACATTTGCTTTTGTTATATGACATCAACAAACACCAATTTGGATAAAATTGCTTCCATTTTTATATGAAAAATTGCAAAAAAGTACATCCAAATTATCTTTTCCATTTAATAGAAAAAAAATTTTTAGGGAAAATATTTAAGAAAGAATGTCTATATTTATTAACTAGCTTTGCTTTATATTTTTGTCTATTTAATTAAGTTTTTTATTTAAAGTTAGGAATATGACATCCATTTACTTTAATTTTTAACTTTAATAAAAAAATATTTTATTTTTGTATTTATTTTTTGCCTAAAAAATATAAAAAATTATTAATGATTTTTATTATATTTAGTTAAAAAATCTTTTCGTCATCCTTTTCTAAATTAAAAAGTTTATTTATTTATTTTCTAATTATTTTTTATTCAAAGTCAATTCTAAACTTTTTTAATTCTATTTGGATTGAAAATTTAATAAATCTTTTATTTTTTTATATTTTATATCTGCAACACCTTTTCATACATATTATAACCCTTATTATTACTCAAACTCCTGTTTCATAACCCACATTCTTAGTCACTATCCAACTCACTTATAGTTGGCGAAGCCTATAATACAGATCCGATTAAAGTCCGGATTCTAAAATTTTCGAATCCGAATATCCGGGATTTCCAAAAGTTGCCAACATTGCTTTTATCATTAGTAATAACTTGATAACACAAAATAACTCAATAAATATCGGACTTTGTTAAATTAATATGTAAATAATTTATTAAAAAATTAAATTTTTTAGTCGTCTCAACAATTAAAAAATCTTTCATCGAAATTCCAAAACGACTCCATTTCTTCTGTTTCTGCCTCATTTTTCTTCACAAAATCACCACTTGGCTGCCTCAAACAAAACGCTCGAAATTGCATACCAGAACCTGCTACTGAAGATAGTAAGTCTTTTTAATTAATACTCAAATAAACAATAAACAATTTAAATAATTACCACCCAAATAATTACCCTTCCCTATTAATCAGAGGTGTTTCGAAACAAAAAAATCTTCGAAAATCGAAATAAATCAAAAATATCGAAATCGAAAATATTTTTTAAAATCTTCGAAATCGAAAATCGGAAATCGAAAGAAAAATAACCTCAAATATCGAAAAACGAAAATCGAAAAAAAATTTTTTAATAAAAAGATGAAAAATAAATTTTTGGTACTTACCGTATTTACTCTGGTAATTCCCCAGGGGGATTATTGTTTCAACCCATCTCTAGGGTGGGGAATTAATAGAGACTGGGGAATTATTAGAGTGGGGTAGAAAGAGGGGGATTATTGTTTCAACCCATCCCCAGGGTGGGGAATTAATAGAGACTGGGGAATTAATAAAGACTGGGGGATTACTAGAGTAAATACGGTATCGGTTATGTTACCACATTTTCTTTCCTTTTATTTCCTTTTCCTCTCCAAAGTTACTTTAACTCTAAGGAATTGGGGAAAACTAATGACTAGAATAGGAGATCCAGGGAAATCATGGATATCCAAACCCAAAATTTTGTTATCCGAATCTACGGCACCGACTCCGACCTATTATTTCTTGGCTCGGAGCCGGTGATTTACTGAGCCGCTTCATGGTGTCACCAAACTCCGGGTGGAAAGTTTTAGATTAATATTCCATCATGAGATCTGTGAGGATTAAAAGAGATAATGGAGGATTTAAGTAAAATCCCCTGATATGGTGAAAGAGCTAGGCCGCTTTACTTAAAAGGTTGGGCGGTACAGCCATAAGGTTCCGGCATGGGGGGTGGGCTTCCAACTCCAAATTAATTCGAGCAAATCATACAATATACCGGAGCCGGAAATAATATTGTTTCAGGGATTCCTTTTTTACCGCCTGAGTCGAAAATTTTGAGAATTTTGGAAGACCAAGTCACCAGAATTTTTCCTTTTTCAGCGCCGCAGGCGAAAATTTTGAAAATTTTGGAGGATCCTTAAGCCAAAAATCTTCCTTTTTCTGCGCCACAGGCGAAAATTTTTTAAATTTATGATGGCCGATAAGTCAGAATTTTTACTTTTTGGCGCCAAAAATTCAAATTTTTTCAAAAATTCGAAAATCGGAAATCGAAAATATCTCAAAATTTCGAAAATCGAAAAACGAAAATCGAAATTTCGAAACAGCTCTGCTATTAATTACCACCTGCAGCCAGAGGTTGTGAAAAAATAATTACTCCGGTAAATTAAAGTTAGTCTTTCTAAATAACCTAAAATAATTATCTCCTCCCTTCTCTCCCCCCCCCTTTCATAAATATCTCCCTCCAGTAAGGGACTGGGCCGTTTTGGCGCGGGGCCGTTTTGGCGCGAGCTTATAAGATAGCATGTTCGTTATCAAAAATGATAAAATTTTGCAATAATAACTCTCGTGCCTTTATCTAGGTTCTCCAAAAATTTCAGAATTTTTGATCAAGAATTTCGAAAGTTGTGGCCAAAAATGTTGATTTTCTGCAAAATGCCTAATTTTTCGAGGTCTATCGACTATAACTTCGGAAATATTGGATGAAAAATTCTGAAATTTCTGGAGGAGGTAGTCAAGGATGTTAAAGAAATTTCAGAAAAATTTTATAAATTTAGGTCTCGCCTAAGTGCCACTTTTTTGTTCTCGCGCCAAAACGGCCCGGCGCCAAAACGACCCCAACCCTCCAGTAAATGTTTGAAATAGGGTTGGTCCCCGACCCCGACTAACCCCGACCCCGACCCCGAACCCCGACACTTTTTGACCTAAAACCCCGACCCCGACCCCGACATTCCCAACCCCGAAAACCCCGACCCCCGAAAGTTCGACCCCGACGACCCCGAACCCCGAAGAATTTTTATGACCCCGACTCAAACTGCATTAATTAACTTTTATATATTTTTTTGTTGGCATTCTGCTAAAATTCTGATAAAACAAAAGAAAGAAAAGACAACTAAAAAAGAGGAAAAGAACTATTTTTATTTTTCTCTATTCACAGAGAATATTTTCCTGACAAAATTTAAACTAGCTTTTTCTATTCATAGTTTGGTTATACACAACTCATTTTGAATTTGTAATTTTATATAGGTCTTTAGATTTAATTATAAATTATATTAAAATGTCAACTAAATCTTCTGATATTTGGAATTTTTTTGTAAAATTACCAATGACTGATGAATCAGCTAGGTGCAAGCTTTGTGAAAATAAATTTTCTTGTAAAAAAAGTTCAACAAAAGGTTTATGGGACCATCTTAAGTCTATGCATTTGGCAGAATATGAGAAGTTTTTGCAAAAGAATACATCAACATCAGTAAGAGCAAACTAATAAAATAAGATTTTTTATTAACAGACTAATCTGGATATATCAAAATTTCTTGGTAAGGATGAGCCTCAAAAAAAAGCAGATGAAAAAATTGCGGCACTTATGCTTCGCCAAAATTGCTCTTTTTTATTTGTCGAAGCACCTGAATTGAGGGATCTTTTTCAACGTGCATATCCGAATTTAACAGTTGCTTAATTTTTATAATCATCATTAACATATTTTTAGTTACGTCGAAGAAATTATTTTAAAAGAACTGTTATTCCTTCAATGGCAGAAGAAATTAGGCTTAAAATTACTCAACGAATAGGAAACGATAAATATGCTTTGACATCTGATGGTTGGTCACAGGTGACAAAGTCACCAGCACTTCTCAGGTTTTATTAGTTTAATTTTTATAAAAATAAAACACGTTAAGTATAACAGTGCATCACTTAAATTCATCATTCGAACGAGACGATTTCGTGTTCGATGTTGTGCCTATGGATAGTCATACGGGAGAAGATATTTGTGCTTCAATTGAAAAATCATTAAAGGATAATGGATTAAATAAGGAAAATGTTGTTTGCTTAGTAAGAGATGCAGCGCGAAATATGGTCAGATCATGCAATTTATTGGAACTAAACAGGTTTTTAATTTTTATAATTAAAAAATTTAAATTAGTTTTCAATGTGTTTGCCATATGCTTCATTTGACTATGAATGATTTGCTAGAGACAAAAGAATTGAAGGCGTTTATCGCAAAAATTAGATCATGGGTCACCTTTTTTAGAACAACAAAAGGATCAAAAATACTTACAAAAACTCAAGAAAATTTAATGTTAAAAAACAAAAAATTAATAGCTTCTTGTCCGACTAGATGGAATTCCTGTTTCGCAATGCTAAAGGAATTCCGCGATCAAAAAAAAGTAATTATGGCTATAGAAGGCGAAAGAAGAGGTTTTGCTGCAAATCAAGCGAAAAGAGCAAAGACGGATTACATTCCTGAAAGTTTACCAAGTCTTGATATGTCTGATTTTGAATTATTGCGTGCTATATGCCCAATTATGGAAATATTTAATAAAGAAACCGAGAAGGTTGTTTCTAGTCTAATTTTGTTAAATATTTTTATATTTAGTTTTCCAAGGAGACTTCATCTGCTTCAACTGTAATTTCGACACTTAAACGTTTAAGGGATTTTTTACAGGTTTATATTAAATTTCTTTTTCAATTTTCATTTTCAAAGGAACAAAATTTCTCAAATCGTGTTGCTCCATTTGTGCAAATTCTTATTAGATCACTAAATGATCGTCTTCCAGAATTGAGTCATAATACGATATTAAGATCGGATTCAGAAAGTGAAGATAATGATAATGAAGATTAAGTTGATTTTTTTATAAAAATGTTGATTTTGAACAGTAATGTTTGATAAAAATGCTGGATTTTGTAAATTTTCACTTCAACCCCGACCCCCGACCCCGACCCCGAACCCCGACATTATTTTCAGCCCCGACCCCGACCCCGAACAATTTGAGCAACCCCGACCCCGACCCCGACTTTGTCAACCCCGAAAACCCCGACCCCCGACTTTTTCAACCCCGAAGGCTCGGGGACCAACCCTAGTTTGAAAGAATACTTACCTAGGGTAATTATTTGATAAATACGTTAATTTAAATTTAAAAAATAATTTTATAGAAATATTTTTTTAAATTTTGATTTTTTTAAAAACATCACTTTTATTTTTTACTTTTCATTTTTAATTATTTTTAATTTTTAAAATTTATTTTTTTAGATTTTTAAAAGAAATTTCCATTTCCTTAATTGTTTTTTTGTGTTCCGATTTTTTAGTCTATTAAATTTACTTTGCTTTATTTTATTTTTTCTTTCCCAGATATTTAGATAAATTAGCCAAAATTTTTTAAAAATTTTTTAGGTTAACTGTCTGAATATTTGGATAGTTGACGTAAATCCCAGTTACTTTAATATAAATTTTATTTTCTGTTTTAGTTGCCTTGCAATATTTTATTAAAATTAAATTTTTTGAAATTTTTAAAAATTTTCTTCTTATTATTTTAATAATTGGAAGGATTTTTATTATTAATTGGATTTTTATTATTTTTTAAAAGCTCTTTCTCTTCTCGATCTTTTTTCACAAAATTTCTTGGTTCCTTCCAGGAACCAAGTTTGAGAATAAAGAGGGTCGGAGTTCGGAGGGTTTTTTTTAAATTTTTCTTCAAATTTTGGGTCGAAAAATGACCTGATTTTGTTCTCGGTTCGGGTCAGTTAGGGATTAAGAGTAGATAAATCAAGTTTTGGTTCGGGGTTCGAATAATTCTGCCCATCTCTGATATCTACAATTTAAGAAAAAATCTTATTATTATCTGTGTAAGAAACACCATAATTTTCTTTTTAGATTAAATCTCATTTTAATTATTCCCCTCAATTCCCCAATGTCATAATAATCCCTTTTTAGCATTAATTATCTAACAACCATTATACATACATATTTAGCCTTTGAATGGCAGCCCTAATTTTGTTTGCCTTTCCCTTTAATTTTATTCTTTTTTTTCTTCAAGCTTTTCCCTATTTTCTTTATTCCACTTAAAGTTGGTTCCACTTCGGATATCCGGATCCGGTATCCGACCCGAAAACTTCCGGATATCCGGCCATTTTCGGATCCGGATATCCGGATTCGCGAACCATAATATCCGCTCGATTTATTCGATATACGCTTACCTCAAAGCTAAATCAGAGCTATTTTAAGTTTTCGATTTTCGAGATTTTTTATTTCGATTATTGTTATTATTTATTCTTTAACTTTTATTTTTACATTTCTAAATCGTTTTTGGCACTTTATCAACACATTACTTACTCGAAAATAACTTTTTCTTTTATAAAAAATTTTTTTTTCAAAAAGATATCTCAACTCTACGGTCATATATTTTATCCCATGGGAAGCCTAAAAAGTGTAAAAATATAAATGGTGTTGGAAGGTTGGCCAAAATCGCCTTTCAATCTTTCCTTTGTTTTTAAATGACCATTTCGGGTACTAAAAATAAAATAAAAAATATTAACTTTTAAAGAAAAAAGGTTGTTTCTGGGTAAATTTCCGCCTAAACATTTTCACTTTTTTCAACTTTTATTTTCAAAAGAAAATTTTGTTGGCCAGAATTTTTTTTATTAAAGGAGTGTTTTTAATCTCTTGAGTCTAATATTTTCAAAAAATATTTTCAAGATAAAAAAAGTTTTTTGCGTATTAGTTTCTGTTTCTTGACCATCATGGAATTCCCAAACCGAAGCACAACCGACTGTACCACCATCCAACCCGATGAAGGGTTATTTATTTTCATTTATATTCTTTCTGCAAGGAACATAACAAATAGTTATCTCATAATCATATCCCATAATAATAGTTATCTATAATATGCATCTTAGATAAGGGAATCGCTTTCTCGGCGGCCCAACCCGCGGCCAATCAACATTTTAAAAATTATTTCGAAACCAAGTTACTCTGTATATTCTCTACCATTACCATACCTTAAATGTCCTTTCAGAATTTCAAATGTCAAGACTCAAATTATTAGTCTCTCTCAAATAATTATCCCCCTCATCTCCAGCGAGAAGTTGAAACAATTATTACGCAGGGTGGTTATTTGAGAAGATACCTTTGTTGAAGTCTGCCTGTTTTTTTTAATTTTTATTATAAAATCTCTCATGAAATTGTCTTGAAAAGCTAAACCAAATAAATTTGAATAACTTTATTTTTTACTTCAACTAAAACTTTATTAAATTCTCTTTTTTAAGATATCCCTTTTTCAACACATTCTTTAGGGGTTTTTTATTTTTTCTTTATTCAATCCACACACTCAAACCCCTACTATAATATAGGTGAGAATTATGTATTTCTCACTTTCTCGCATTTTTGCGCTCTCATGTAAACAAATTTTTTTTCAATAACAACAAAAATTGCCAAGGAGGAAGTTTGCCAAAGAAATGAGAAAAGAAGGTATATATGTATTCTGTCAATAAACATATACAATCTAGTAGGCAAAAAATGCCGAAAAATCTACGCCGAAATATTCTTAGCTAAGGGGAATTAAAGCGTGTCAAACATTTTTTTATTTTTTTGTTTTGTTTCATGTCGTGAGTGAGACGGTGCAAGTTTAACTTATGAATCTATCCCAAATTTAGGTCAAAAGATTATTTCTTTCAATTATCAAATCCTTCTTAACTTTTCCTCTAATCTTTGGCAGACTTTTTAAAAATAAAAAAAATAGCTAGAGATGGCTAGAGACCGGATGGAGAGGAGAAATTGTAGAGACCAGAAACTAAATAGAGAATAAAGAATCTAGGTTAGTCTCGAACAAACAACCTTTGTTATAGTGATATAATATTTTTCGAAAAATCTTGTAGAAATCTTATTTTCGATTATTTCATATTGTCAAGATTATTTCGATTTATCTCACGTTATGGTTCGCGCATTTAATTTAAAAAATTTAAAATTTATACTGTAAAGCATATAGCTATTAATTTCCTAAGGCTGAGCAGTAGGCGGCGTGGTGTAATGGCTAACACATCAGTCCGGTCTAATGAAGATGCTGGTTCGCTCCCAGCCGCCGAATAACCTTTTGCACTAGCTAAAGGAGAGAAATAGCTATAGCCCAGCTGCTTTACTATACATAGCTATTTTTTCACAAAACCAAACGGATTTTTAATACTGTCCTCATTAAATAATGAACACATTCAGAGGATTAACTAGGTTTTTTATTTCCTTGACGTAGTAAATTAGCTTTCTTAATGACTAAATAATTTTTTAAATTTATTGTCTCATCTATTTTAAATTAAAAAAAATTTTTGTTTATTCTATTTTTCTAAAATAAAATTAAGGGATGTACGGTTTGAGAAAAAAGTTTGGTCAGATTTTTAAATTTTCTTCGCATCTGGTTGATTAAATAATGTTCAAGATTCGGGCCGACCATTTTCCTCTCCATTACTGATACCCCCTATTCCTTTCTCATCCCCTCTTTAGAATTTTTGATAAAAAATCGTCTCACTTTTAGAGAGAATACAGTAGCTCAGACCCAAAATTTATTTTATAGCAGCTCAAATATAAAGATAAAATCCAAAATTTAATAAATATTAAAAATATTTTTTCTATTTCTCAACAAAAAAACACAATTTATACCAAATTTAGTATACATATCTAAAAAGATTATATGTCCGCGCAACAATTTTCTTCTTCTCCCTCCCCTTCCCCAACATTTTTTACTAGCACATCCTTGCCAATCCTGTGCCTCATCGATTGGCACTCACCAAAGTGCCGAGAACAGCATTATCAAATTCCTGCTCCTAAATTTGCTTCGGCACAATTTTTGCCTTTAAGTGAATCAAATGAAGACGATAATGATTATTTAATTAATGAAAATGGTAAATTAAAAAAATAAATTTTTGGGTATATTTTAATTTTTTGGTATTTTTTATCTTTTGGATGTACTATAATAATTGGAATTACATAAATAAATCATTGTTGATTTTCCGTATTTATCCGGCAAATATTTTATTGAGCTGGATATAATATTCATTAAATATGCTTAATTTTTTAACGAAAAAAATTTTTTTTAACATTTTAATGGTATTTTTTAATTTTAATATTTTTCTAATAAATTCATTTTTTCATAAATTAATAAATTTTCTAAATTAAATTAAAATTTAAAATTAGCGTTTAATCAGTTATCGACACCGGGCCGGGCCCAGGACCATGTTTCCAAGCCCGATGCCTGGAAATAAGAACAGGCTTATCGTTTATTGGGCCTTGTTTTCGCGGTTTCAGACGGATAATAAAAGATTAAAACCAGTTCCGGCAATTTGAAAATGTCGAACTCTATTTAGAATATTAAAATAAAATAATTTTTTAAATAATTTAATGAAAACATTTTTTAATGAATTAAAGCTCTATTAAAAATTTTATTTAAAAAAGGCTTCTTCACTCCAATCATCTCAAAATCGCTCAATTGGGAAGCACAAAGAATTACTAGTACCATTACAACTACATCTTCAACATCTCCACCAACATTCCAAACATCACCTTCTAAACCAA